AGCAGTTACGAGCACTTACTCTAGAGGACCAGAGTTCAGTTCCCAGCACCCACAGCAGGCAGATCACAATCATCCGTAACTCCAGCCCCAGGGGATCCAACTCCTCTGGGCCTCTGAGGCACTTGCACTCATGTGCACATATCCACCCACATATGCACACATAATCAAAAATGATAAAAAATATTTTTAAAGCATTACCTACGAAAGCAGGTAGCAAGCTGGATTTGCTTTGTGTGGTGTACTTTCTCAAGTCTGTTCCTCAAGGAAGCATCCTCTTTTCATCCTCTCGACATCTCTTGGGAAACAGCACAGCACAGTACATTTTTATTTTCCCAGTCATTCAGAGTGCAATTGGGTCTTCTTCCTCTTCCCCTTCTTCCTTATCAGTTTATCTATTTTTATGTGTGTGAGCGTTTTGCCTGCATATATGTCTGTGCACCACATTGGACCCCTGGAACTGTAGCTACAGATAGTTGTGAGCCACTATATAGGTGCTGGGAATGGAACCTGGGTCCTCTGTAAGAGCAGCAAATGTTCTTAATCATGAGCCATTTCTCCAGTCCCTCAGCTCAATCTTGAGCCAGCCAGCCTCCTCCTGACTTCCTCATATTTGTGATGACTGGTTTAGAAAATTAAAAAAAAAATGGCTAATAATGTTTATTATCAATGCCTATAATTGTTACGGCAGTTATTATTAACCTGCTACCATATCAATAAAAGACACAGACACCTGTTGTATTGAAATAAGCCTTGTTTCACCTGGGGCTGGGCAGATATCACCCCCTAATCTACCTTGTTACCACTGTAATGGAAATTTTGGTTTCTTTGTAAACTCAGTTATGTTATATAAGTATGTTTTTGTTTTTATCCCAAGTGTGGGGTTTTAGTTGGGCTATAGTTTGTCCACAGCTGTTAATTGTCACGTGTGGGGCGTGATCTTGGCCAGCTGAGGGGTGTGGCCTCCGGCTCGGAGGCTATCAATAAGAGAGCCCAGAAAGAGGAGGTGTGGCATTTGGGGTTGTCCTGAGGCGTGTAACAGTTTAAAGTGACCAGAAACGGACAGTATGGTGGCTTGGAGCAGACAGAAACGCTTCAAGCCATAGAGGCTTGAAGAAGACTGCTGGCTGCGTCAGCTGCTGACGGAGATTAATGTAGTCCTAAAAGAACCCCTCAACCCTACACAGCCAGGAGACGTAAAGGGGCTCTCTCTCCCCAATAGCCTTCTCTCTCCTATGTAGGTTGGAAGGGAGGTTGAGACCTACACCTCTCCACCTGATACCCCATGCCATTGGCTTAAATCATTCGTATTTGTGCTGCTTCCCATCCAATATCCCTGTAAATACTTTCACATGCTTTCCATCTAGGCCACTCTTGTCCGAGTCTTGCAGCTCACATGGTTCTTTACCTAGCCAACTGCAGCTCTCCTTTCTCCTCCACCTGTCTCTCCATCCTCTCCTTTCTTTTCCTGTGACCCTTCTCCCTCGAAGCCCTCGAACTTTGGCCACGCCTACATCAGTCTGCCCTGCCCAGGTGTGTAGGCATTTCTTCAGCCAATCAGGGATAATTTGGAGGCAAAGATTACAAACCTGTCTGCATCCTGTGGGGCACACCTGTGATCCCAGTATTCAGGGAGGCAGAGGCAGGCGGATCTTAGTGAGTTCAAGACCAGCCTGGTCTGCAAAATGAGTCTAGGACTGCCAAGGGTACACAGAGAAACCCTGTCTTGAAAACAAAACAAAGGATTACAAATTTTGCCCTCAGGGGGCAAAATAATTAACAATCAAATACAAAGCACCAGACCATGCCATTACAGATGAACTTGCTGATCTCAGGACGTTTCCCTAGAGTCATAGCACTGGGGTGAGCCAGAGGACCAGAGCTTAGCTCAGGAGCCTCACTGTCTTTCTTCCCTGTGAGAGTCTACAGAAATACTTGTATTTGGCTGTTCTGCTTGTCAAATCCAGATGCCCTGTGCCTCCAACTTCTCAGCTGTGAGTTCCCTATGGGCCTCCTAACCTCTCTCAGTCTTGGCCTTCTGAAACAGATAATTTCCAAGGCTTTCCCATGTCACTACTGCCTTGAAGAGTCCATGGATTAGCTGTGGTGGCCACAGCACAGAGTACGTACGCTGCTGTCCCCCTGCCCCTAGGGATTCCTGATAGAGTGATGACATGAGCAGTAAGGCCAGATTAAAAAGCCCTAGCATAATGCTGGCAACACTATTTTACAAGCAATACAGGGTCAGAGGCAGGGCAGGACAGGTGTCCAACCACAGGGTATCTGCGGTTGGGCGCCTGAAACAATCAGGACACCCAAGATAAGAACCGGGAGTCTTTCCCGCCTTCTCTGAACCGGCTACGTGACTTAGCCCACATCTGCTTTCCCGCCTTCCCTGCTCCAAATACGTAACCTAACTATGGCTTTGTTCAAATCCCCCAATCAGATCCCCGTAACTATGCTTCTCGCTTCTGTAAATGTGCTTCTTGCTCCCAAGCCCTATAAAAACCCGTTACCCCAACCGAGGGGCGCGCAGGTCTTCCGAAAGGCTTTGTCGCCCCGGGTACCCGTGTATCGAAATAAACCTCTTGCGGCTTGCATCCGAAGGCTGGTCTCGCTGATTCTTGGGAAGCGGGGTCTCCCCGTCTAGAGAGGCTCTAGCCAGAGTCTTTCACAGATCTCCTCTGCTCTCTATCCCCAAGTCCATCGGAGGGCCCTGTCTTTTCTGAGCCCACCCTCTGGTTCCAGCACAGCTTGAAAACAGAGACCAGAATATCACTCCTCCCTTGTCTCTCCAGAAACATCCAGCCAGGAGTTTGCTGATGTTGCTTTTTGTTTGTTTGTTGTGATTTTCTTTATTTCTTTAAAAAAGGTTTATTTTATCTTCTGTGCCTGTGTGTGTATATGTGTGTGCATGCAAATGCCCACATATGCCTGAAGAGCAAGAGCGTGTTTCCCGGAGCTGGGAGCTGCCTTATGTGGGCGCTGGGAACTAAAGTGCTAAGCCATGTCTCCAGACCTCCTCTGTTTTGTCTTGAGACCGCATCTCAACCTGTAACCCTGACTGACCTGGGACTCACTAGGTAGACCAGGATGGCTCTGAACTTACAGAAGTCCATTTGCTGATACCTCTTGAATGCTGGAATAAAGTTGATAATGTCAGAGCCCTTGCACTCCCGTACCTGGACTGTGCTAGAATTAGGTATACCTAGATTAGCAACCAGAAGAAAGCATTCTCCTTTGAGTCTTGGCAACCTCTCAGTCCTTTACCGTAGTCTGGTATTAGGTGGTAACAATGGGGAGATCCAGGTGCTGGCTCCACCCTTGTGAAACCTGGAGCAAGCTTCCTTCCCTTTCTGGGCCTCTGTTTCCTCATACGTAAACTGAAGTTCAGTGCGTGGTCATGAGGGCATTCCCTGGAAGACAAGAGTGTTGGAATACAAGAGTAGGACCAACGTCACACTCTAGGCCTTCAGAACTGAAGCCACCTTCCGGGATGGGATTGTGTGGCCTCCTGGATGGTGGCTTCTAAGACGTTCTTGTATGACCAATGAGTATGTTTCTTTGGCTGCTGGGCCTCAGAACAGTTGGCGAAACAGTTGGTATTTTCACCTGTTTTTAGGTAGGGAGTTAGTGGAGTAGGTGTGGGCCATAGAGAGGCTGGGAAGTTGGGAGGAAGATTGCTTTGCTCCCTTTTAGGAACGAGTGGGCAAACTCCCACTCATTCCATGTGGCAGAAGTCACAGGCCACCTCCTCTGTGCAAAGGTCCTAGATTTCCTCTTCAAACTTAGGAGTGTGGCTCAGTTGGCGGAGTATTTGCCTGGCACCTATGAAACACCATGTTTGAGCCCAGGCACTGAATAAACTAGGTGTGGTCATACGCCTGTAATCCCAGCATTTGGAAAGTGGAATCATGAGAATCAGATCATCCTCAGGTTTGAGTTCAAGGTTAGCCTGAACCGAATAGAACCCTGTCTCAAAACAAATGAACAAACTTGGGGATTAACTGGCCACTGGGATATTGTTCCAGACCAAGAGATGCTGAGCAGTAGAGGCTGCATCCGAGCCCCTAGCCTTCCATCACTAGTTTACGGCAACTTTCTAAGTCAGGAGGTCATAGGGCTTGGTGGCCCTTGCTTCTAATTCTAGCTTTTGGGAGGCAGAGGAAAGCAGGTGAGGGGACAGCACAGAACAGTTCCCGCCTCCCAGGACTTAATTTGATCAAATTCAACCCAGAGAGCTAGACATTAAGAAAATATTTGTAAGCCTGTGGCCCAGAGGAACTGAGCATCTAATAGTCTGCTTTCCTTTGAGGCTTTACAAAAGATTGGTGCATGCTGGTGGGAGGGAAGGACCTCGGTGCGTGTTTCCGCTCACGAAAGAGGCCAGAGCCCGCGGAATGTTACACAGAGAGAAGGTGATCGAGCTGAGCTGGAGGACAAGTTTGCATTCAAGATAACCGCAGTGGCTTTCTTCAGCCTCCGTGACACACCTTCCTCTGCTTCCTCTAGTAGTTCACTGCTAGCCTCTAATTAAGTTGTTTCTAATTAATGGGAGGAGGGGTTTTGGAGCATGAGGTGAGAAGTACCCAGTCTGAGGTTGGGGAAAGGAGCTCTGGTTTACTGTGAGAAGGAGGCTCGGGTCTCAGAGAAAACCCAGGAGACCCTGGAATGAGGATGAAGTATCCCGGGCCTGGAATAAAAGAAGGGTCTAAAGGGAGTCCCTCAACCAGCTAGAAGGGGATAGGGAGTCCCTCAGAGGAAATCGCGGGCGGCACTTCATTGGTTCCAGGGGCGGGACCCGGAAAGGGGCGCGGGCTCCTGAAAACCCCTTTTAGCGTCGCTGACTACAAGTAGGCTTAGCCGCAGGAGGCGGAGCCTCAGGGTGAGGCGGGGCCCTCTGGGGGCGGAGCCTGAGGGCGGGGCGTGGGGCAGGGGGTGGAGCGTGGAGGTTTGTGTGCACGTCCCTCCCTCCTCCGGGTTCGGAGCGTCCCCGTGACGAGTCTGCACCGAGCAGCCGCGGGCCGGGCCCATCCCGCCGCAGCAGTCCCCGGGCGCAGTAGAGGTGAGGCGGGTCGGGGCGAGCAGCTCACGGAGAGCCCCGGAACGGCGCCAGGTGAGGCCGGCGAGGCGGAGGGGCGGGGAGGGGGGGCGTGCGCGGGGGGCGTGTTTGCGTTCCTGCGGGTAGCGGGGTTGGGAGAGCGGGTCCGAGGGCCGGCGCCTGTGGCTGTTAGCGCGTGGGCGCGTCCCTGCGGTAGCAGGGTCTCGGGTGTGCTGCGCCCGTCTGGGCATCGCCTGCGGTGCTCGGGGTGTGCGAGGCCGTCTGCGTGCCCGCGCCTGTTTGCCTGGGGCCGCCGGGTGTGTATCTGCGTAGGCGCTGGGCCGTCCTCGTGCCCTGCCTCGGCGCAAACCCTCCGGCGTTGGGGTTGTTCAATCGGTAGCCTGCGGGGGACCGGCTCTGCTGCGGCGGGGAGCCCGACGGGGGAGCGCCGCCTCCGCAGGCCTCCTGAGAGACCCGAGCGGCCTGAGCACCGCAGACTGACACCTGAGGGAGGGAGAGGGCGCGCACCCGGGAGGGATCCGGAGGCCTGCCTGTAGTGCCAGGCCAGCGTAGGGAGACTGAGTCAGGTGGATGGCCAGAGGAAGGCAGGCGAATAGGGGACAGAAGCGGGGAATAGAGTGTGGAAAGAGAGAAGGACGTGCCAGGAGGACAGAGAGTCATTGAGAACAGACCGACCGACAGAGGCCAGACCTGCAAAAGGACAGTAAGATGACAGTGACCACATAGATCCAAGAACCTGACAGAGGGAGTCACCGAGGTTTTGGGGGTAAGACTTAAGCCAGGAATTAAGTCTCAGTCCAGAGAGAAGGTCCCTTAAGTCCTGGCTGCCCCTCTGCCAGGCACATTCTGTCTAAAGTTCGCGTGTTCCGCTGGCCTCACCGAATATCCTGACCGGCTGACAGAGCCTTTACTTTCTTGGCCCTGTCTCACCCGTCTCCCTTCCTGGTATCCCAGCAACCTCGCCTTTTAGGGGAGGCGGAAGTAGTTATAATAACAAGTGTTGAAGGGTTGCTCTTGCCTTGGCCTAAGGAGCCTTGCAGCTAATCAGAGCTTGAGAGGAGTTGGGGTGGGAAGCTGCAAAGTTCTTTTCTCTGATCAGAATGGTGCTGGAAGGAAATCCGGAAGTGGGATCGCCTCGAACCTCCGACCTCCAGCACCCAGGGAGCAAGGGCTCTTGCATCCTCTCTTCTGGTGAAGAAGCGCTGCCAGGCGAGGAACCCATCAAGTATGGTGAACTCATCGTCCTGGGGTGAGCCTCCCTTGCCCAGGGGTGATGGGCCACGTCAGCCAAAAACAGCAGTGGGCACCAGCTGCACTCCCCAGGACTCTTTGCTCTTTGCTTCTTGTCACTTTCCCAGACAAAAGACAAAATTGACCAAACCCATTTCCGGTTTTTGTTTTGTTTTGTTTTTTTGAGACAGGGTTTCTCTTTTTTGCCTTGGCTGCCCTGGACTCACTCTGTAGACCAGGCTGGCCTTGAACTCTGAGATCCACCTGCTTCTGCCTGGGATTAAAGGTGTGCACTGTGAGACAATTCTAACTGCTCACCAGTTTCTAATCAGTGAGAATGAGAGTCTCTGGAAAAGAGTCTGTAAAGCATCTACTGTGTTTTGGTGTAAAGAACTCTGGTTCTGCACAGATCTGCTTGGTTTCCATTCTGCTTCTGCAAGTTGCTGAACTTTCCTGTGCCCTTGTTTCCCCATTCTGAAGACAGTGTTGGTACTAAGTCATACACCCAACGGTTATTTGAAGGAAGGAAAGGAGGAAGGAATTTCTATAAAGTACGCAGTACCCAGCACATATCAAGAGTCTGGGAGGCAGGCAGTGCCAAGGCTTTTCGTAGACATTATTTCCTGTCAATCTTCATAAAGATGCTGTAAGGAAGGAGGTGAGGAAACTGAGGCTCAAGAGAGGGGAAGTGACTGGCCTAAGGGCACACAGCTGGTAAGTGGCAGGGCTGGGATTTGAACCTAGGTCTTCCTGACTGTAGATCTAACACACTATCACTAAGTTGCAGTTTGCCCTCATGATACAGATGAGAAAGTGGAGGCTATGAGAGACAAAGTGATGGGACTTGATGGCTGGGCAGGCCCTGTCCCTTGCCTGGATACCTGCATTTCCCATGAAACTCTTCCCCAGACACAGACCCTTCTCCTTTTCCTTCTGTGTCTCCTTGCCTCTGCCCTGAAGACTCTACTTGATCTGCTGACATGATGGAGATTAACCATACATAACAATGGCTGTCATTTAGTGACTTATAAGTACCCCTTTGCCTTTTTTTCCCCTAATAACAAGAATAGCTAGCTCATATCAAGAGCTTGCTATAACCATGCCAAACTTTGTCAAGCATTTTAAAGTGCTTTATCTTGTTTAAAGATAAAATCAACCTTCCAAGTAGGTCCTGACAAATGAGTTCCATTTTATAGCGGCTGTGTGATGACCGGAAGAGCCAGGATGTATGCCAGGTTCCTGAGAGTCCTCAGCCTGCATCCTGACCTGTCTCCCAGGCCTGCTCCTGCCTGTACAGGAGAAGTGCTCAGAAGGGTAGAAGAGCTGTTTCTCACAGGGCTGCTTACATCTGCTTTGTGTCCTGACAGACGGAAGGGTTTGTTTCTATCTGGGTGCAAGGCAGGGATGGAGGAGACTGCAGACTAAGGGCTTGGGCTTTGTTCACAGCTCTCTGTCCTAAGGAGAGCAGGGAGGCCTCACTGTGTGGCAGAGCTATGCCGAACACATGGAAATCACACATGGAGTAAGGCGCCATATGTACTCCTATAATCCCTGCACTGGGGAGGGGGCCAACCTGGGTTGCAGGAGATCTTGTCCCCAAAATCAACAAAAAGAAAGGAGAGGGAAGGAAGGAGGGAGAAGAGAGAAAAGAAAATGTGAGATACTGAGAGGGGAGGGGCACAAACTGGGTTGCAGGAGATCTTGTCCCCAAAATCAACAAAAAGAAAGGAGAGGGAAGGAAGGAGGGAGAAGAGAGAAAAGAAAATGTGAGATACTGAGAGGAACCCCACACCTAGAGAGGCAGAATCTCTGGTGGGTCTAGAAAATGTGGATTTTAAGAAACTCAATAGGAAATTCTAATTGGTCCTTATATTTGGCACTTTTTTTTTTTTCCTTTTTGACACAGGGTCGCACAGAGCTCAGGCTGGCCTCCACCTGTCCCCCGTGTAGCTGAGGGTGACCCTGAGCTCCTGATCTTCATTCCTCTCAAGTTCTAGGATTATAGGCGTGTGCCACCAGACTCACATATGTGCTGCTGGGAATTGAACCCAGGCTGTTGTACATGCTAGGCAAACACTCTACCTACTGAGCTATATCCCCAGATACTGATTTTCTTCTCTAAAGCTTTCTACGACTCCCCGCTACTCACAGAAAGACATTCTTAGCTTGGTGTTCATATCTCCATACTATTCTTTACCAACCAAGTCACTCAATCTGGGTCTCACGAAACCCTGCCAGCCTTAGGGCCTGGGCTCAGAGTCCTCGAACTTGTGCGACTTTGGCAAATCTAGGCGAGTATGACCACACTCTGGTTTTTTTTTTTTTTTTTTTAGCTTTGTAGCTTGAGGCAAGTCATTTTCCCTCCCTGGGCCTTGATTTGTTTAATTTATAAAAGAGGGAGAAAGACACTTGCCTGGCAGGACATTTTGCAGATTCCATTAGGTAATTGAAAACATGGAGGACCAGGAACAGGGGCAGCAGAGGCAGCAAACAGTGCAATGACTCACCTTATCTTTGCTTCTCAGAGTCCATTCCCCCTGAATAAGAACTGGAAAGGAAGGTGGAAATTAGACCCACGTGGGGATAATGGAAGGAGTAGAATTAGAAGCTGTTTTTTCCTCTCGGTCGTTTTATGGTCGCTGTGTGATGAACGATCCTTCGCTGCAGGGGAAGTCTTTCCAGTTCTTCAAGGTGTTTCCTCTCCCAGAATCCTGATCCTGGGTCATTACCACCTCCTCCCACCGGGCCTTGAGTGTACTCAACTTGTGCCCGGGTCATGGCAGGTGACGTTTGGGTTCTATGAGAAGCTGAGCTCTCTCCTTCACTGAGGGCTTGTGCCCGGGTCATGGCAGGTGACGTTTGGGTTCTATGAGAAGCTGAGCTCTCTCCTTCACTGAGGGCACCGGCATGACTGTGCTGCATCACTTCTACCTAGCACCTGCTGTTACAGCTGAGGCATCCAGGAAACACTTGGCCACTGAAGGAAGGATCCCACCCCCCCCCCCCCCCCCCCCCCCCCGCCCCACAGTGCAGCCATTCCAGGCTCTTCTAGCTTTGGGTGCTTCTTGTTTATAAGGTAGAGTCTGCTCCGAATTGGCAGTTTCCTCCAGGTCTCCTAAGGGCTCACTTTCTCCTCCTTTCTCTCCTCCCCCTATCTCCCCACCACCACATCCACAGCTACAATGGGTGCCTAGCTAATGGGGACAAGGGCCGCCGCCGAAGCCGCCTGGCACTGAGCCGCCGGCCGCATGCCAACGGAGTGAAGCCGGATGTCATGCACCACATCTCCACACCGCTCATCTCCAAGGCAAGCACCTTATTCCAGTGGACTGAAATGCCATCCTGTCCTGTGTGCCCAGGTCTTCAGCCTTCCTAGACCTACTTCGATGGCTTTTCTGGAGCTGAGAAGCCCACTGCCTATTGGCTCAGCAAAGAATTGGTGGTAATGGGTCTGGAGAGATGCTAGCTCAGTAGGGTAAGAGGGCCTTCTGTGGAAGCCTGAGGATTTGGATCCCCAGCACTCATATAGTAAAAGCAGGTGTGCCTGCAGTCCCAGCACTGTTGAGGGCAAAGACAGGAGTTTTGCTGGGGCTTGCTGGCCATCATCCTAACCAGAAAATAAACGCTCCAGGTTCCATAAGCGATGTAAATCAGTGCTAGAAGACACCCAGTGGCCTTGGTGGGCACACAACCTGAGCCCACATATACCACACCACAGATAGACCCCAAAATGGTGATAACAGGCATCCTTCGAAGTGTGCCCATCCCTTAATGGCCTTTGAAATGTTTCCTTGACTGCCACACCCCATTCATTGGCTAAAAATTTTACTTATTTAAAAATAGTAAATTTATTTTTATGTGTATAGATATGTTGCCCGCGTAAATGTCTATGCACTGTGATCATGCAGTTCCTGTGGAAGCCAGAAGAAGGTTTTGGATCCCCTGGGACTGGAGTTACAAACCCTTGTAAGCTGCCATATGAGCGCTAGGATCAAATCTGGGTCCACTGTAAGAGCAGCAAGCGATCTCACTTACTGAGTCATCTCTCCAGCACCTATCAGCATTATTTTAAAGATAGCTCCAAGAGTGGATGTGATGTTCACACAATGTATTAGTCAGGGTTAGTCTAGAGAAACAGAACATATGGAATGAATCTCTGTCTGTCTGTCTGTCTTATCTGTCTTTGGGGGATTTATTAGAATGGCTTGCAGGCTGTGGTCCAGCTAATCCAACAATGGCTGCCTACTAATAGAAGGTCCAAATATCCAGTAGTTGTTCAGTCCACGAGGCTGGATGTCTCAGCCGGTCTTCAGCATATGCCGGAATCCCAAAGCAGTAGGCCCCAGTGCCAGAGAAGGACTTGCTAGCGAGAGGAAGAGCAAGCAGGCAAAAAGAGAGAGCTTCTTTTTTCCATGTCCTTTATATATAGGCCGACAGCAGTAAGTGTGGCTCAGATTAAAGGTGGATCTTGAAAAGATCAGGATTAAAGGTTTATTTTTCCACCTCCAGATTAGAAGTGGGTCTTCCCACTTTAACTGACTTAATTAAGCAAAAAGCCTTCACAGGTGTGCCCAGTCATTGGGTTTTAGTTAACTCCTGATGTAGTCAAGCTGACAACCAAGAAGAGCCGCCACACATAACACCAAAGGAAAACCTTTGGCTTCAGAGGGTTGGTGTGGAAGTTAAGTCTCTGTTGTTTCCAGGTGTGTGGCCGAGGGCCAGTTCTTGTCTCTGACCCAAGATTTCTAACTGTAAAAATGGAACAGTAAGCACATTTTTTTGAGATAGATAGAGGATTAAACAAGAGAACCAGCTAAGAGCTCCTTCTATACAGTCTCCTCTGCACAGGATGGAGCTGCCCCATCCTGGGATGCGCCTTGGGTGGCCTCTGGCTCAGAGTTTTACACCTCTTCCATACCCTGGGAAGTGACTGCCTTCTCTCCACCAGGCCCTGAGTAACCGAGGCCAGCACAGCATCTCATACACACTGTCCCGGAGCCACTCAGTCATAGTGGAGTACACACACGACATCGACACAGACATGTTCCAGGTATGTCCAGCCTCCTGTTCTCCGTGTTCTGCAGGTGTTCAGGATCAGGCCATGGGCCCAGAGGCTCCGAGAAAGGTGTTTCTGAGCACTCACTGTGGCGTGTGGCCCTTTGGATGGGAAAGTAGGATGTCTTTGCTGACTTTGCAGACAATAACAAGTCAGTAGCCCTCAGAGTAAAGACCCCTAGAGGATGGGAGGCTGCACAGATTTGGAGTGCAGAGGGTAGGGTTAAGCCTCATCATACCTGGGTTCAAGTACCAGTCCTTGTATGTATGAATGTACCACTAGGTGATTTTGGCCAAGAGCCATTTAACATCTCTGGGTCTTGTTTTTCTCATCTGTGAAATGAGGTTCATAGTAGCCTCCCCACCATGAGAGGAGTGACTGAGGTCTTATACTAAAATGCTTAGCTTAGACCTAGAGAGAGATGGGTTAGAGTACTTTAAGAGCACTTCTTGCTCTGGCAAAGGACTCAGGCTCAGTTCTTAGCACCCACATCCGCTGTCTGTAACTCAGCTCCAGGGGAGTGGATGCCCTCTGGCCTCTATAGGCACTGGGAAGTCTCTCAGGCTCATACACACAGACAAAAGTAGTAAGCTGCGTGTGGCAGTATACACCTTTAATCCTAGCACTTGGGAGGTAGAGATGAGTGAATTTGAGGCCAGCCTGATCTACGTAGCAAGTTCCAGGCCAGTGCAGGCTACAAAGTGAGACTGTGCTTAACGAAACAAGAGCTGTGCGGTGGTGGCGCACGCCTGTAATCCCAGCGCTTGAGAGGCAGAGGCAGGCGATCTCAGAGTTTGAAACCAGCCTGGTCTACAGAGTGAGGTCCAGGACATCTAGGGCTACTCAGAGAAACCCTGTCTCAAAAAACAAAAACAAAACAAAACAAAAAAAAACCTATGATAGATACAATTTATTGCTAATATTCCAGAGTATCACCTTTTAAGTGGCCTGTTAGCAGATGAGCTGGTTTTCACTGAGTGAGGTGTTCCTCGTAGCTGTGGGCCATAGAGCAGAAGTTGCTTCGTGCCACGACTGATCAGACATAGGGAACCTGCATGCAAGCCCAAAGGGTCTAGACTCTATAGAGAGTCGTGGTGTGCTGTCCTCTTTGGGTCTGGCCTCTTCATTGTCTGGTGGCTGCTGAGACTCCGGGTGAGAAAACTGTGAACCTTGCCTGTGTGTGTTCTTGTCCTCCTCTCCTTATAGATTGGCCGCTCGACTGAAAACATGATTGACTTTGTGGTGACAGACACATCTCCTGGTGGAGGGGCCACAGAGGGCCCTTCTGCCCAAAGTACCATCTCCCGCTATGCCTGCCGCATCCTTTGTGACCGCCGGCCACCCTATACTGCCCGAATCTATGCTGCTGGCTTCGATGCCTCTAGCAACATCTTTCTTGGAGTGAGTGAGCCCCCGGGCAGGGCTAACCCCCCAAAAGAGAGAGCAGAGGAGGGCGGAAGGGAAGCAGGCTAGAGTGTGGGCTGTACATGGGCTCCTATGGCACAGCAGCCCACTTCTTGAAGAAGCAAAATGAGGTACAAATAGGTGGTGCCCAAGACCGGAAGTCCTGTCTGGGAAACCCCAGGTCTTGAAGGTGGGGGGACACCACCTCCGGCATGCAGCCTTTTGGGAGCTCCTGGGGCTGTGAGCTTATCCTTCATGTGGTCCTAGGAGCGGGCAGCCAAATGGAGGACTCCCGATGGTCTGATGGACGGCCTGACCACCAACGGGGTCTTGGTGATGCACCCAGCAGGCGGCTTCTCCGAGGACTCTGCCCCAGGTGTCTGGAGGGAGATTTCTGTCTGCGGGAATGTGTACACACTGCGGGATAGCCGCTCAGCCCAGCAGCGGGGGAAGCTGGTAGGTGCCCTCCTCTACTCCTCCCCACCCTTCCCAGGTCTCATAATCCATTCACTGCCTTAACAAGCTGGGAGGTGATCTATAGCACTTCTCTCCAAGAGAGTCCCACTGGGCTGTTTAGTGAGCCCCAGGCTCAGGGGGTTCCTGAAATGTGTCAGTTAACTCCCTAGACAGGACCAGAGCAAGGTCCGTAAGGTACAGTCCCATACCTGGGGATCCAGCAGGTGATATGAAACAGAGCCACACAAATGCACTGTGTGGTACCAAATGGCTTTGAGGCTGCCAGCAGCTTAGAAAATCACACCATCTTCCAAGGGTGACGCCTGGCCTGTGTATGAACAATTTATAGCCCAGAGTGTTGGCAGCTTATACTGTGTCTGTCACATTCAGGAAGGTTTAGTGTTATGATCCCCTCCCAGCAGGAAAGGGCCTTTGGAGTGGTTCTCCCATTGCTGGTCTGCGAGAATCCCTTTGGTGCCATCTGGAGCACTAACATTGGGAGCCGCGAGTAAGTTTTAGGAAAAGAATAGATCCACATAGCCATATTCCTTGATTGAACCACACAGAATTCTCCCCAGGTGTCAGCACGTGGGAAGATTATGAGTTCTAGGCCAGCCTGGGCACATAGCAAGAGCCTGTCTCAAAATCAAACCAGGGCCTAGAGAGATGGCTCAGAGGTAAGAGCACTGGCTGTTCTTCCAGAAGACCCAGGTTTGATTTCCAGCACCCATATGGCAGCTTACAACCAACCAAAACTCTAGTTCCAGAAATTCCAGCACCCTCTTCTGGCCTTCATGGGCACTGGGCACCCATGCAGTGCACAGACACACATGCAGACAAAACATCCATAAAATTAAAAAACAAAACAAAGAATGTGTACGAAGCAACACAGACGAATACCAGGCATTGTTTCATGTTCTTGTTTTGGTTGACTTATTTAATCTTCACAAAGCCCACTTGAGTTTTGGAATCCAGTTTGAGGTCCAGGAGACCAAGACGCAGAAGTTAAATTATCTTTTTAGCAACACTGAGTAAGTGACTGAGCAAGACCAGGGTTCAAACCCAGGCTCTCTGGCTCTGGAGTTCTTTCTGTGATCCGTGACCCATGGCATAGCCGCTTTGGGCTATGTACCAGTATTCCCCATGGGCGGTATTTGCTGTCTCTGCACTATCCTACTTCTACCATTATGGGAGAGCTTTGGGAAACGGTTCAGAGAAAACTTGTTTTGGGCCAGAGCTGCTGATTTGACCTGTGACAATACCAAAGCCCCTAGTACTGCTAAGAGTAAGGGGCTGTATGTGTTGGGGAGCATCTGTCTTCTTGTCTCAGCTAGCCAGATGGGTGGCTTCTCTGGGGTGAGGCTGCCCAATGGCAGGACCAGAGAGCTCTTGGGCTAAGGCCTTCTGCTGCCTCCGGCAGGTGGAAAACGAATCCAACGTCTTGCAAGATGGTTCGCTGATTGACCTGTGCGGGGCCACACTGCTGTGGCGCACTCCGGCAGGGCTGCTGAGGGCACCCACCCTGAAACAACTCGAGGCCCAGCGACAGGAGGCCAACGCGGCCCGGCCCCAGTGTCCCGTGGGTCTCAGCACCTTGGCCTTCCCCAGTCCCGCCCGTGGCCGCACAGCACCTGACAAGCAACAGCCCTGGGTCTACGTCCGCTGTGGTCACGTCCATGGCTACCATGGCTGGGGCTGCCGGAGGGAGCGAGGCCCCCAGGAGCGCGAGTGTCCTCTCTGCCGCCTTGTGGGACCCTATGTGCCCCTGTGGCTCGGCCAGGAGGCCGGGCTCTGCCTGGACCCTGGGCCACCCAGCCACGCCTTTGCACCCTGCGGCCACGTGTGTTCTGAGAAGACTGCTCGCTATTGGGCGCAGACGCCACTGCCACACGGCACCCACGCTTTCCACGCAGCCTGCCCCTTTTGTGGGGCTTGGCTCACTGGTGAACATGGCTGTGTCCGCCTAATTTTCCAGGGGCCGCTGGACTAGGTTCTCTAGCGTCCTTGCTGCCATGCCCGCCTGCCCACCCAGGTCCCCCATCTCCTGCTGTTCAGATGGAGTTCTGCATGTGGGATTCTGCCTGCTGGCAATAGCCACACCAGTTGGACACATAGGCTGGGCTGTGACCCTCCCTTCAATTCTCACCTCTAAGAGGGTCCCTGAGATCTCTAGCCCAGTCATACTGATAGGGACTTTAGCACCAGCTCTGCCCCAGGCTGATGGAGGGCGCCCCACGCCCCTGTCCTTCCTGGGGTATCCTACATCACGCGCCGCCTACACTGTGCCCCTGGGGGAGTGAAGGGGCCATGGCCCCTGACTTCCAGCTTAGGCTGGTTGCTCTGAACCAGCCAACCCAGTGACAGCTGTCCCTCCCTCCTGCTGCCGCCCTGGGTTACTCTATAAACCTTGTTGCTCAGCTGCCCTCCCAGATCCACGTGTCCCGAATGCATGCAGTACCTCCAGTCCTCAGTGAGTGATGAGCTGACAGGCATTTGCTGACTCCCAGTACAGGCAGTGTAGTGCCAAGTGGAGGAGACACGGACAGTTGAATCCGGTTCTCCACGTGGTGGAGTTCACAGCCTAGTGGAGGGTGGACAGCTTCGTGTGTGTTAGGGTCAGAGAATTCCAGGGCTGCACAACAACCCTTGCTGGATTTGGCAAAGTAAGAGGCTTCATGGAGGAGCTCAGCCTCCATGGTGGCTTGGGATCTTCCTGGCCCACAAGGTAATGGCTCTGTACCCTCTTGGCGCAGACTCAGTAAGAGAGTAGGGGTGGAGAAACAGATTAAGGGGACACTGGAGTGTAGGGCATGGCTCTGGTGGAGAAATCAGATTGTCATTTGTGGATAGGAGTCACAGCTGGGGGAGGCTCACTGCTCCACAGCAACCGCCTCTGACACAAGGGCTACCATTGCTGAATATTCATTGCGTGCCCCAGCCCATCCTAACAGTAATCACAGCTGCATTCACTAGGTACCAGGGCTCTGCTTCTCAAAGATGTTGTTTAATCCTCACAGTGATCCAAGAAAGGAGGTGTCTCCACTTGGGTTCATAGAGAGATAAGGTTACAGCCTGGTTGCAACCACCCGTCTCGGCTCATACTAAGGCTGGGCAGGACAGAGGCAAGGCTGGTTAGAGTCTGTTTCGTGGAGGAGCTGGAGAAGGTAGGATATCTACCTACTCAGTGCCCAGCCCCATGCAGGGCCCCAGCAATGAGCAAGGGCTCCCAGTTAGAGGAGGGACGTGTGTGACTAATGGCAGAAACTGATCACCACGTCCTGTTGGCCACCTGGACATGCTGAGGTTGTTCTGAGCAGTTGGATGGCCCCAAACCAGAGCCACATCTTCAATGGCAGACACAGTAGAGGCAGGATGCAGTTAGGAGAGGAGCCTGGGTAAGGGCAATAGGATAGAAGGGCAGGGAGAATGCCTAACAGCCAATATGCAGGGCAACAGAAAAAGATGGGATCAGGGTTGTCGGCTAGGACCTGGTGGGTCTTGGTGACTGTGGAAGCCAAGTCAGTGCCGAACGTCTCCCTATTCCTCCTGTTTGTGAGTCAGGTCTTCCTGTGAGCCAAGGCCTGAGCTGGGTTTCCTCTGGCCATTCAAGGGAAAGTTGACCAGGAAAACCAGTATAGACAGACTATAGAGAAATAAAAGAAGATGGTTCTGTGTGTAGAACTTTCTTTGTCCTCAGGGCAAGGCAGAAGCCAGAGCCTTAGGGAGGTGCAGAAGGCAGCTGTCACAGAACAGGCTGGGCATCCCATAGCTACAGTGCGATGCATGGCAGAAGGGGCTGCCAGAGTGCAGGGAGCATTTCAACCCTCCCCCAAAACACTAGAAACTGCCCAGTTCTTGCTAGTGACCCTGCTGAGGACCAGGCAGAGGAACACACTCTGATCTCATTTCTGGTGTTGAATCTCAGACTCTGGGAAAAAGGACAAACAAAAGGTGCCTGACTGGGCTTTGGGAAGAACTCAGTCTGGTGGTGTGAGCCAGCTCTTGGAGTTTCAGATTCCACGACTTTTAAATGGAATGTCGGTCTCTAACGATAGGCATGGTGGCATGTGCTTGTAATCCCAGCATTTGGTAGGCTAAAGGAGGACGATTGTGTGTTCAAGGCTAGTCTGGGCTACATGGCAAAAACCCCATCTCAAACAAAAAGAGTACTCTCCTTACCAGGGTGATGTAAACATACAGAAAAGCCATGATGTGTCACAGTGATAGAATCAGAGACAGAGTGAGTGAGTTGGGGCAGGGGGAGGAAGCAGTGTAGTGTGAGGTCTTAGGAAAATCAAAGGCCCTCTCATCTGTGCAATTGGTACGACAGTCTTATGCTATCTCAGGGGTTTTGCAAGAATTAAATGAGATTCTATATGGCAAGCTGCTGGTGAAGGACTTCATTCAATAATTGAGATTATAAAATGGCATCATGCAGCTTGGTTGGGTGGGTCTTGGATATTGGGATCTTTAACTTGCCTGAGCTATCCTTTGGTGGCTGTGGTTACAGAACCTCTCCTACCTGGTTCTGGTTACATTTCAACTTAATCTGAGTCAACTTTATACTATATAGTCTGAAAACAAGCAAAAGGATCAAAGGGGACTGTCCTCAAGTCATAGACGTTTTTACAGGATTCCTCCTTAAGATGACACCCTAATGACACTCACCAATCAGAACCAACAGCTTCTAACGCTGTGGTGACGAGCCTGGCCTTAGGCACCTTTGTGAATTGAGAAACTGGTGCCTGTAAGGAAAGTGTGTGGATTTCAGTGCCAAGACACCACCGCCTACACAACCCTAGGGGGCAGTATTACTCCTTGATGGTTGTCCATCCTTTGATGTAGATTCACTTATTAGTTCTGAAGTAAAAGCTGACAGGTCTGAAGAGTCAGACCCACTGAAAGCCACACAGCTGGTAGGTGACGGATGTCTGGTTTGACCTCAGGCAGCCCGAGTCAGCCCCCAGCCTAACCCAAGCTCTTTGCAATGTTAAGGTCACCCAGACAGACACTACCTTGAATAACTAAGGGTGGATAGCATGCTCGCCTGTGTCCTGGGCTGCCCGAGGCAGCAGAGGGTGCTTTTCTATTTGTCTGGCAAATGGCTGAACCAAGAAAATGCCAGTTCTTTGCTGGCCTCGCCTTTGCGTGGGTTGAGGAAACTGGGGCTCCCAGTGTTTTAAGAACTGCTTCCAGGCGCCTGTAGCATTTTTTTCTGCAACCCTCTAGGTGGGTGGTACTCCTGTTCCATCGGGAGCTTCCTTGCACATAGCCTCCAAATAGCAGTCTCCAAATAGCATCTCCAAACCCCAGATCCAGAGAGGAGGGGGATCCACGTTGCTATGCTCTCCTTCAGTGCAGGTTGCTGACTGCCAAACCCAGGGGAAGGACACTGGAGGTGAAACCCCAAAGAGAGCAGGGTCCCAGCTACGTGTGTGGAGGCTCCTGATATATACAGACTCTGTGCTTGGAGACCTCTGTCCGTCCTCTCTGTGTGCACCAGGCAGCAGCCAAGTGGGGTACCCAGATACTCAAGCTGCTTCCTACACCTTCTCAACCCCCAACACCTCGCCACTACTCCGAGCTAGCAAGGCAAGCGGACAAAGGCCAAGGCCTCAGGGACCTTCCAAGCAAGCACCACCCGTAGCGCCAGGGGCGGGGAGTAGATGAGGGGAGGTGCTGATCTTGGTTCCTTTACTGGCTGGAGCCACTGCCCATCTGATCCCTGGGGCCAGATTATTGGTTGGTGGGGCGGGGCTTGTGAGGTCCCAATGAATGGGGCGGGGGAGCCGGAAGCAGGAAGTGAGTTTGCGAACCGAGCAGCTGCAGCAGGTGAGGTGCGGCACCGTGGTTTTGGGGTCACGGGTGTCATCTTTAGGGGATCAGAGCGAGGCCTGCCTGTGCGCGCAAGATCATCCTGTTTCTGTTCGCCCTTTATTGCCTTTTCCAAATCTTTTCCTGCTTTCGGGCCAAGGAGGATTTCCGGGCAGTAAAGAGTTAACACCCCTTTCCGAGCCCCGGCCACAGGGTAGTTGGGGTGCGCGATGCCGCGCGAATGGGGCTTAGGGAGTGTGGACACGTGTGCTTAGTCAGGGGCGGGGCGTGGTAAATGAGGTGGGTTTGGAATTCCCTGGGTCCCAACTGGATAAGTTGTTTGCTTTCCAAGTGTCATTGTCCCTACCTGGAAAATAGGTTGTGGATATGGCCTTCCCAGGTGTAGCAACAGAAGAAAGTGGAGAGCTGAGGAAAAGAGAGATGAGACCAGGGCAGATGCTGGGAAGGAAAAGCATGCAGGAAACATCACTGCTCTTTTTTATTTACTTATTTCTGACAGGGTTTCCTGTACTCCCAGACTGGCCTTGGAATCCCACCCAGGGCCTGGTTGTCGGCTAGGCAAGCACTCCCAACTCAGTTATATCCCTGCCCTGGAATTGGCCTCTTCTAATTTGCATACCCAGCTGTTGAGTTTGGTGTCACGATCAGTTTTACAGAGGAGGAAAGAGCTGCAGAAAGGTGAAGCAGCTGGCCTGGTTTTTAGAACTGTTTGGTGGAGCAGGGTTGGAACAGGGGGTGGGGGTCCAGCAAGCAGCCAGACTCCTGCCTTTGCCAGCAGTTGTGATGGGCTAGAGGAATTCTGAACAAAGAGGCTCTGAAGTCTGAAAAGGTGGAGGTGAGAAGGGAGTGTCTTGGGCGGGAGTCTAGCATGAGGCTCTGTTCTGCTGGGTCTTCCTTCCCATGCTCAGAAAAAAGTCTTGGTGGTGCTTGCCATTAATCCCAGCACTCGGGAGGCACAGCCTGGTTTACATAGCAAGTTCCAGGACAGCAAGGGCTGTTACACAGAGAAACCCTGTCTTGAATAGCCAAAAAAGAGAAAGAAAAAAGAAACAACAAACAAAAGTCTTGGCATCTTTGAGCCTCAGTTTCCTCATCTGTAATATGAAGTAGTTCGATTCAGACTTGAAGTCTGAGAGGCCGCAGTCCAAAACTGGCTCACTAAGTATTTGATCCTTTGAATTTCAACATCAGGCGAGTAGCTGCTACTGTATAACCCCCTCCTGGGCTTTTGGGTGGAAGAAGTTCCGTGGTGAGAGTTGAGAGCAGAGGTGGAGATAGTGCACTCTCTGAGCTGACTGCGGCATGTCCCTGCAGGGCTCATGGCAGATACCCAGTACATCCTGCCCAATGACATCGGTGTGTCTAGCCTGGACTGCCGGGAGGCCTTCCGCCTGCTGTCGCCCACAGAGCGCCTCTATGCCCACCACCTGTCCAGGGCCGCTTGGTACGGAGGCCTGGCTGTGCTGCTCCAGACATCCCCTGAAGCCCCCTACATCTATGCCCTGCTGAGCCGCCTCTTCCGTGCCCAGGACCCCGACCAGCTGCGCCAGCATGCCCTGGCTGAGGGCCTTACTGAAGAAGAGTATCAGGTCAGTTCTCACAGACCAACCTGGTTCCCTGATGGGCTTCAGGAAGGGTGTAAAGGATCAAGGGGCACAGATCTCTCTCTCCAACTAGGTAGAGGATTAGATTAGCACACATATACAAAAACACTCACGTACACACGCATACAAACATGCTCAGACACTCACGCACACACACAGACATCTGAAAAGCTTCAGGCTTGTCATCTGTAGAATCCGCACATGGCCCGCCCTTAGTATTGTGGCACCCTACTTAGGACAGTGCCTGCTTCATAATGGAGGGAAACGAGGAAGGTGTGGTGGCCCGCACCTTTCACTCTGGTGCTTAACGATGGCTGTGAGTTTGAGGCCAGCCTAGGTGTCATGGTTCTGGGCATTCTGCAGTGACTGTACAGCTGGTACTAAGAAGGTGGAGGAAGGCAGCCTGGGTAGAAAGTGGGAGGTCTGAGTTATGCTTCCGTATTGTGAGGGGCCTGGGTAGAATGTTTGTCTCCTAGTTCTGGTCTGTGGGTGTTTTGGTGGAATAACATCCTAATTCCTAGTGCATTGCTACAGTTCAGAAACACACAAAATGCAAAGGCTCACCCACGTTTGTTGTCTCTGAAGAGGTAGCCACTGTGGCTGGTCCTTTTCCGTTCTGTATGAGTGCATGGGATACTGATACCTGTATGTGCACAGTATACCAGGGCCCCATTTAACTTACCTGGAACTCACCCTGTGGACCAGGGGCTGGCCTCAAACTCAGAGATCCACCTGCCTCTGCCTCTCAAGCGCTGGGATCAGAGGCGTGCGCCACTGCTTTCCAGCTTAACTTCTTTAAAATGTAAAATGACAGTCTGGTGTGTACGTGAGCAAACGTCAAATATATAAATGCCGGAAGAGAAGTTCCTCCCTTGAAACAGGATCTCTTTTACAAAGATTTGTCTTGTTTTAGCACATGTACGTGTGTGTCAGTTCATGTGAGTTACAAGTGCCCACAGAGGCAAGAGGCACTTGACATGGGTGCTGGGAACTGAACCCGGGTCCTCTGGAAGAGCACTTGCTCACCGAGCCATCTCTCCAGCCCCAGCACAGGGTCTCATAATGAACCTGAGTCTCGTTCTGGTGATGCTGACTGGCTCTCACACTCCCAGCATAGCCTGTGTACACACCCGCCTGCCCAGGGCTGGGGTTACATGTGTGTATGGCCACGCCTGACTCTTATGTGAGCGCTGTGTATTCACACTCAGGTCCTCGTGCTTGCATGGCAAGCACTCCTACTCACTGAACCGTCTTCCCAACCCCCTGTAACCTTTAACATCGTGTTCTCAGTGTTCTGTATACTGCCCGTTTTTCAGATCTCTGTGTCCTGGAGAATTTCCAGGGAGAATATATTAGTCCATTTTCTTTTGTGGCCTAGGAAGCACTCTATAGCAGTGCACACTGTAATCAAATTAGTCTTTGTTTTTGTTTTTCAAGACAGGTTGCTCTGTGTAGTCCTGGCTGTTCTGGAACTTGCTCTGTAGACCAAGCTGGCCTTGAACTCACAGAAATCCATCTGCTGCTGTCAGCCTCCTGGTGAGAGAGAGAGGGCGTGAGGGAGAGAGAGAGAAAGAGAGAGAATGAATTATGAGCCTAGTGTGATGGCAGACACAGGCGATCTCTGTGAGTTATAGCGCCAGTCTGGTCAACATGAGTACCAGGACAGACAGGACTACACAGGGAGACCTGTTTCAAAAAAAAAAAAAAAGAAAGAA